TGTTTGTATCTGGCATTTTTAATTTGCTTTACAATAGATAGAAATGAAAGTTTCCTTCAATGTTGGATGCTTAAACAAACAATGGTTTGATAGCACCACAGAGTGCTTATACTTTTTGGGAAATTAATCTACAAATGGATTACTGGTAACTGTCTCTGCGTAGTAAGGTGGTATATGAGAACAGAAAAAATACAAATTTCACCTTTAAAACCAAATCAGACCATCCTGTTAAACAATTACATAGTGTCATTAAAAAAATGACAGAAGGCTATTTCATGTACAGTGGGGAAAATATCTATTTGATCCCCTGCTGATTTTATAAATTTGGCCACTTACAAGGAAATGAAGGGTCTGTAATTTTTATGGTAGATTTATTTTAACGTATAGAGACAGAATACCAACCAAAGAAATCCAGAAAAAAACATTATATAAAGGTTAGAAATTGATTTGCATTTCAGTGAGTGAAATAAGTATTTGATCCCTAAGCAAAACATGGCTTAGTACTTGGTGCAGAAACTCTTGTTGGCAAGCACAGAGGTAAGGTGTTTTTTGTAGTTGGTCACCAGGTTTGCACACATCTCAGGAGGGATTTTCTTTACAGATCCTCTATAAATCCTTAAGGTTTCTTGGCTGTCGTTTGGCAACTCGAAGTTTCAGCTCCCTCCACAGATTTTCTATAGGATTGAGGTCTGAAGACTGGCTAGGCCACTACATGACCTCAATGTGCTTCTTCTTTAGCCACTCCTTTGTTGCCTTGGTGATATGTTTAGGGTCATTGTCATGCTGGAAGACCCTTCCATGACCAATCTTCAATTTTCTGGCTGAGGGAAGGAGGTTCTCATCCAAGATTTTACAGTACATGGCCCCGTCCATTTGCCCCTCAATGCGGTGAAGTCATCCTGTACCCTTAATGTTTCCACCTCCGTGCTTGACTGTAGGGATGGTGTTTTTTGGGGTCATAGTCTGCATTTCTCTCCCTCCAAACATGGCGATTCGAGTTAATGCCAAAGAGCTCAATTTTGGTCTTATCTGACCACAGCACTTTCTCCCAAGCCTTCTCTGAATCATTATATGTTCTTTAGCAAACTTTAAACGGGCCTGTACATGTGCCTTCTTGAGCAGGGGACCTTGCGGGCGCTGCAGGATTTCAGTCCATTGCGGCGTAGTGTGTTACCAATGTTTTTCTTGGTGACTGTGGTCCCAACTGCCTTAAGATCATTAACAAGCTCCTCCCATGTAGTTCTAGGCTGATCCCTCACCTTTCTCATGATCATTCTTACCCCATGAAGCAAGATCTTGCACGGAGCTCCAGACCGAGGCCGATTGATGGTTGTTTTGTATTTCTTCCATTTCCGAATAATCGCACCAACCATGGTCTCTTTCTCACAAAGCTTCTTGCTGATGGTCTTGTAGCCCATTCAAGCCTTGTGCAGATCTACAATCTTGCCTCTGATATCCTTTGACAGCTCTTTGGTCTTGCCCATGGTGGTGGGAGTGGTTGGAATGGAAGATACAGATTGTGTGGACAGGTGTCTTATACACCTAAC